TAATTCAAGAGCAGCAGTTAAGCCAAAATTTTAAATTAAAGTTTCAAAACAAGTTCATTACAATAGAAAGTAAACAATATCTGTAATGAAATGACGCATGATTTAAATAACAATCAGAGGACCCATTCAATTCTACTACACAAACACAGGCATTCCAGAACAGAAACCTTCAGTAATGAGTGCTATAAAGTTATACCAATATCGTTTGACATATCGCACTCGAAGTGCTAGCTCCCCCTACAGATACACCCCTCTGACAAGTCCGCGATAGACAGTTTCTGACAACCTATATTTACATAAATATCGTTTGCGGTTATGAGACAGGAACACAGCTTGTTGACACCCCGTTGGGGTGGAGGGATTCGAAAACGGACAATTCTGACACAAGCGCCTCATCCCTTGAGGGTTGAGGACAAGCATCGAAGACCTCCCCTTTCCCGGATAAATATCGTTATTTACTTAAAACTCCTGCGGTTACAGTGTCTATTTAGATAAAACAGAGGTGGAACCCCCTCTGTTGATTAGCTGGAACCCTGAAAGAACGTGAGATGCGTTGTTAAAAGATGGAACATGGGGTCAGTCAGAGGATGGAGGGTGAGTTGCAAGGTTGCGGTCCTGTCTCTCTCACCCCCTCTATCCCCATCCATAATTGAACTGTTCGTAATAACGAGGTATTAACGTGGTGGAATGGTTTGGCTGCCTTAAGGAATACGGGGTTTTGAAATGTGGCTACAAGGAAAGCGTGACTTTGGGCGAAACGTGGAACTATTTTCACTTCCTTCTTGTTTTTGTTCATTTGCGTCTGTTGCTTCGAGATATTGAAAAAAAAAGTACGAGGAGAAACCATTTAATTAAAGCGTGGACCAATTTAAACTACACTGATTTGCAAATTAGCATTTTCAGCAGCTGGTCCGATGGCATGATGAATAGTTTTCTGCTAGTGGAAATTATCTGCATGCGCCTTTATATTCTATTTCTTGACCAGTCTGTTCAGGGGTGGACGTATAACTATTAGGATTAATTAAGTGCTATTTAAAAGTTTTATGATGGTAGTTAAGAGAATACTAGTGCAGGTATTCGTTTTTGTTTTAAAATCCCCCCCTTTTTGTAAAGCCACAGCAGACACGCGTTTGAAAGTGGTTAAGGTGCACTGCGTCACGTTTTTTATATTAAATACATTATTAAATATTTTCCATCTACCAGGCATTACATAATTGACCTTCGAAGATACATACATTGATAATTTTATACGTATGCATGAGGTAAACGTACTAGAAAAGTGAAAGTAATTTTTAAGCAAATCGTAGATAAAAGGAGTAGTTTGTAGAGTAGGGGTTAGTGAGTATTAACGTCGTACTACAAAGCAATATGAGAGTTATTGGCAACAGACCTAGTAATTTGGAAACACGCTCATTTGACGAGAACATCTGAATTGTACCTCCTCTCCAAGCTGCTACACTACGCTAAAAACACGATTTTGAGTCATGATAGATTTAACGTACATCAGCTCCCATACACGGCGGGTTTCCAGTGGGTCTAGACTTGAACACTTGTGAGTGACTTGTGAGTAAGTATTAACGTCGTATTATAAAGCAACACGAGGGTTATTGGCGACAGACATAGTAATTTGGAATCACACTCAAGTGACGAGAACATCTGAATTGTACCTTCTATCCAAGCTGCTACACTACGCTGAGAGGACGATTTTGAGTCACGATAGATTTAACGTACATCAGCTCCCATAAACGGCGGATTTTCAGTTGGTCTAGACTTGAACACTCAAGACACACCGACCACGAGCTCGTGTTGTGACCACAAGGCCACCGCGGCCTACAGAGGTTTGTAAAAGATAGACAAATTCGAAGTATCACGTGACAACTGGCTCGAACATTGGAAAAATATTAACAATTTTTTAATATTTTAGGAATCTTTTTAAGAATAAACATGATACTGGGGAGAAAAAAAATGCTAACTTGGCTAAACACGACAGAAAAGAGCATGATACAGTATATTTAAGTAAAATATATCAATTCGTACACTCTCTCGAAAACAAAATTTTTCACTAAAATTGATCATTACATGTGGAAATTCTTTTAGAAGCAATATCTCTTTAGATTTGTTATGTTTTACTTTCAGAAAATATCTCATTCATTAAAAATGTTCTTTTTGCTTGTATAGATAAAATTTTACTAAACATTTATAGTAAATAACCGTGACAACAATTTTATTACATAAAATGTAAAATGAGCATTATAAATGATACAATTATTCCTTAACTCGATAAATTTCTTAACCAAAAATAATTGTATATGGAATGCGAAATTTTTTATCATTTCTCCTCGTCAGTAATTAATGGCTAAAAATCTACATACATAATATTTTTCTATAAATAATTTTTTAACTTCAAGAGAATTTAAGCAATATTTTTTGTATGAAGATATATATCCAGACATAATAGACACATAAAAATAAAAGCATAAAATGAACAAGTATATAAGAAAGAGGCTGAAATATATTTAAATATTAAATCACTCGAGAACGGAATGCATATAAATGTATAGAGACAGAAAAATACAAATATACATTGTGTTATACAAAAAATATTTAGTATTATCTGTAACTGAATATATAGGTAAAGGAGATTAGATTTATAATACATTAAATATATAGAGAGCTGTGAATAACAATACAGCATCATATTATCGAAACCTCCAACTAATAAAATGAAAAACATGGCGAACAATATTAGATTTCTTTAGTACGCATATATAACCATCTCATTTATACGGATATATTTTTTCCCGACGAAACCCCCATCGCAACTTGCTAAGTAACAAGAACACATGTTAAATTTATTCACTTTTTTTTATAACGGAACATCTGATGTCTAGTAGAAAATTCGAAAACAAGTTCATATGTTTTCAAATAATACATCAGTTTGAGAAAATGTACAAACCTTGCAAAAGCATGTGTCTCCCAAAAAATATTTCATTTTTTCTTCTCGCTTTCATTTCTTATCTTAAAAACATACCCCTCTCCAAATTCACACACCTTGCGAAAAATATAAATTCAACCTAAATGGTGTGTGTGTGCTAAACACAAAATAAGATCACGATTGGTGAAAATGATAGAGCGAACCCCCACCCCCCGACACCTTTTGTACATTTGCGTGGAATATAAAATCAACAATAAAAACACCGCGACGACGCTCTTTTTTCCATTCATTTCGTTGATTTGTTTATTTAAAAATAAGGAGAAACTACATAGAATAAAAAATTGCATAAAGACCCGGCGACTTCGAGATAGACTTGCTCGGAACGACGACGCGAACGGTGATTGAAAAATATTTGATGTTTTAAGCCAAGATAAAAATCTTCAAATATACATATCTTTAAAAACTCTTCGCATGTTTGAACGCGTTATCAAAGAGCTGGAAATAGCATTATAGGGATCGTTTACCCACCAGTTTCCGAGAATGTATTACTCACAAATTTCTTTTTTTCCCGCGCTTTTTCCTCTTCGAATCTTTTTCCCCCTCCTGTATAGAAAGGGGGGCAGAGAAAGAAAAGAAAATGCATACAAAACCAATTTACCTATCGGCAGAAAGCGTAGCATATATCGATTCTCCTACTTACTTTTTTGCCAATATTATACATTTTTTTCCCTCTTCTTTCTACGCTGCTTCTTAAGGATGGTTTTTATTCCATGGCAATCAATTGTGACTGTTTTGCTTCGGCCTTGGGGGGGTTTTTAGAGAAAAAAAATAAATAAAATGAAATGAAAGAGAAGGGGGTGAGGGGGTTTTAAAGGAAATCGAAAGTAAAATCTTTCACAATCATCCGGGTATTTTTTTTCTCTCCCCCGCTTTTTATCCTTCTATTTCCTTAACCCGGGCGGTAAAAATGTTGCTGTGTAAATCGATGACCCAAGGTAAACCCTACGTAAGGATATTCTAGTCAGTAATTTTTTTTATAAAGTACGTCTGAAAAAATGAATTACAGATTCCTGGCATTATGTTTCTTCAGCAGGTGTTATGCATGATGGAAAAATATGGTGGGGAAGTTGATCTTAACATTCACCAGGGACTGTTGATAATAAAAACATTTAGGCAACAGGAAGGATATTTGCAGTGCGATTGATTGTCTTAAAAAGTCAAGCTTTATTGAATTATACTATTTATCCACTATGTTTATTTGTTTACCGTATGAAGATTGACCAATAAGAGCTAGATAGGCGGTGCTAAAAGTACCGCCTCTGTGAACTCACAGATGTGTTTCTTCACTTGAAAGATGCTTATAACGCATATGGTCTTTGTTTATGGTCAAATGCTAGCATATATCTTTAAAAAAATCACAAAAATGTTTAATGGTCAAGCCCAATGGACTCATGGCTGGAGTGTCATGAGTTCGAGCCTAGTACCGCTGAAGACACGACGTGTAGAGGGAGCCGAAGCACGTTAAATATGTCGAGGCTCAAACGTCCTATATTGATGTGGTGTGGAAATTAAGAGGGGATGCCAGCTAAGGTCCCATCTTCATCATCTGACTACGGTTCAAAATTACGAGGTCCGTAGACAATAGCACTCGTGCAGCTGTATAGTACGACGTTAATATAACTCTCCCTCACTCGCCGTATTGGGGATACAATTGCATAAACACAAATGTTGAAACAGCGCCATCTTTTTCCAAAACATACCCCATGTTTCTTAAACTAAACTAAACTCAGTGGCGCAACAGCCCATGAGGGCTAAGGCCTACTGTGCCCATCTCAGTATACGTGACCATTGGGCGCTGAGGTGCATGAGCAGATGTACCGATAAGGTTGTCACTCTAAAGCGAAAGCCTCAGTGTTTAGTTCCCAAGGAAGCTTGGCACTGATTTATCGACCCACTGAAGGGAAGAAAGGCTGAATCGAACTTACCCAGCCTGAGGATAGAACCCTGGACCTGTGGTGTGGAAGTGCAACACATAACCACTCAGCCACTAAACGAGAATGCTAATGGCACGCGGTGTTCCCAGATGGTCATCCTCCCAAGTACTGACAACGTCGATGACGCTTAACCTCTGTCATTGGACGTGAACCTGTGTTGTCATCATGGTATGGCCATTGGCCATGTTTCTTAACGAAGTCAATAAATGAATACATTTAACCTAGTGCATTTTACAATCATCAGAAATTGCAGCTGTTAAATAAAGACTCATACCCTACAGTAAAAAAAACCCCTCTCTAAATCCGCCTACGACCCCGATAAAAATAAACGAAATAAAATAATTGCACAGAAAACCACTGCTTTTAGTACAATGAAATTCGAATCATACCATTATAATAATAAATAAAAAGAATCACACTGACATTTTAAGAACTGATTCCTACCATACCCGTAGCCACATCCAAAACTTTACTCACAGATAAGATCTGTGAGACACCCAACTCTTAAAAGAATAACAGATTTATTTAATGCCGAGCACTTGAACTTGCTGTGAATCATTCATTCACTGCTCTAGTGGTTTTCGGACAGAGCGACGACATGGCTAAGTTTTACTTTTAATTCTCATTCCATATTTAACATGTCATGAAGTCGCGTCGCCTTTGCAGTGGTTCTAGTGTTATTTTTTTTACTTCAAGAGCCACTTTCGGTAGACTTGTTGACATGTTTTCACTTTCTACACTTGAAAGAATATTTTTTAAGGCCTTTCGACTGCATAAAGAGTATGTTTGTGTGTTGGAGATTAAGTTTCCAGTAGCCGCCGACGGTGAAAGCCGTAGGGTAGATTATTATTTTGCGTAATGCTTGTACTAAAAAAATAAACAAATTTTAAAACATTTTTCGAAGTTTTAATATTATTTTTCTCCATTCTGAACTATTACATTGTAAAAAAAGCTATTTCCCTGATTTTTTCTTTAAATATAAGAAATTTTAATTTGATTTGGGATTAAAAAATTGAGCAATGATATCTTGTGGGGAAAAACTCGGGATCAGTGAGTGAAGGTTTATGAACGTCGCTCTATAAAGCAATATATGGGTTATTGGAGACCTGCCTTGTAATATTTAACCACGGTCAAACGATGCGAACGTCAGTAGATTTGGCACCTCAATCTACGAAACTCCACACCACACCAACGGAAAGATTTTGAGCCTCGGAAGATTTAACGTGCATCAGTCTTTCTATAAGGTGGGTCACTAGGTGGTAAACGGGTACCGAATAAGTTACTCGGCCACGAGTTTATGATCATAACTACTCAGCTACCACGGCCACACCCTGAAACTGTATGTGTGACACCCACTCCTCTAACTTTTATACTAAAGTGACGACTTTGAACCCCGATTCTAATAATGGATAGAATCTAGAAAATTTCAATATATATATACTTTTCCAAAACTACAGATTACGTTAGTTCTTTACCAGAAACAAACGGAGCTGGTGTGGGATGGTTCTGCCAGATGTTCAAAGATTCACTGGCCTTGGAAAAAAATGCTACCAATTAAAATGGTAAGGTCTCGGCTGTCAGTGTAGCTACAACGCAATTTCTCGCTGCTGGTTTAGCTCCTGCAAAAGTTGTCTTCCCTTCCAATTTGCAATTTCAGTCTTATAAGCAGTAATATACCAACTAATTGTCTAAACACAATTCAGTGCCGAACTAAAGTTGTGGAGCTCATTTCATATGGCTGAACTGTAGTTTTACCGTGGGTACCAAGTCATGTTGGGATCCCCGGTAAAGAGAGAGACGACTAAAAAGCCAAATAGGGAGCTGAGTCGTCTCAACCAGAAGTCCCCTTTTGACTCTCGGAAGAGCAAAGAGCATTATAACTACATACATTGACAAATGTACTGCCACAAACCAAAACACCAAGAGCCTTGGAAAGTCATAGGAAATCCTAGTAACTGTGGGTCCTATTCCGAGGCACATGAAGAGAGCCAAGGCCATGCCCGCTTTCAGCCTAACTACCGGACGTAACTTTTTGAGAGTAGACTTCTCTTGGCTTGACCTCGATGCTGACGAGACCTGCCTACTCTGCGGCCATGCTAGGATGGATGACGACTACCTGCTGCAATACACTGGGCTTGATATAAATACCAGACTAACGACGTTGTCAATCAGTACTGGGCGGCAAATGGTCAAGACTCCAAGTACGGGCGTTGGATAAATAATAATAATACGTTATTTCATGATCACCAGCTCCATGAATCACGATGTTTAAGTTAAGTAGCGATTCAAGTCATAATATAACCTAAGGTTGTCATGAAAAATTAATGTTTAACATTTATAATCGAATTAAGCCTCAAGTTCCTTATGCGGGATGCTGGAGAAAGTATTTTATTCAATTTTTTGTAAGCGATGCATTCTAAAACAACGTCAGGGTCATTGATGACGAACCTCGTAATTTGTTCGAGAAGGAAAATTAACCATATCAGCTCCATTGTCTCTCGATGTAAACATTTCTCTAACATCAAGAGACTTTCTTATACTCGACTCAAAGATATTTATAATACCGTGAATACGCATCGTGATTTACAAACACACATAAATGGCATAGTCGACACCTGAGCTAGCACCCTACCTTGCACAACTACGTCACGTTATTGAGAAGACATTGAAACTATATGTAACAAACATTTCTTGTTTTAACATTCTTTACTTTAATCACTGGTGTAGCTACTCCTGAGTAGGCCCTATATCAAAATTTCTTGAAGTCCCTTTTGGGGGCTCCTTAAGATTTTACGTTTTTTATTTAAGCATATAGGTGCCCCTCAGTGGCGTAACGTACACCACCACATTGCGGAGGGCAGGGTTCTAGGAGGCCCAAATCCTAACTGACGTCAAGTTATACCCTTTGTAAGATCCGGCTTGGGGCCCAAAACCTGACTTTTCAGGGGTGGGGAACTCTATTCATCTCCGTTATGCCACTGGAGCCCCGTATCATTGATAAGGCTGATACGGCGGTAGCTACGCCCTTGACCGTATGACGAGATAAATATTTATGACGAGTGTCAAGGTTGCGAGCTTATGGTCGACATTATTTCGGTCGAGTCATGAATTTGAGTCCACGAAAGATCTATCGAGCAGGTAAGTTGATGCACGCTAATTTGGATCGATATTCAAAGTCCTCACGTTAGCATGGCATGGAACTTTCACAAGTGGGTTCGTAATGTCTCGTTAGTTGACCGTAGTTAAAAATTATGACGCTCATCATCATTAGCTCTCGTGTTATTTTAAAGTGCAACGTTAATAAGCAATGGGTCAATCAATTCTTGGTTGGCGTCAGAAATTTCGAGGTCCCTCACCAAAATCGCTGAAGTGCCTCTCTCTTTCTATATATAAGAGAAGCGCAGTTAATTTTTAAACCTATATTCTAAAACCGAAACACTTTTCATGCATTTCAAAGACAATATACGTGGCATTGAAGAATTTCGTTACTGACAAGCGTGCTTTGCTAATTTTAGCGAAGCACTTTTGTTTCTAGGGATTAGATTCGCTGAGTAGGAAAAAATGTCGGTTGAAATCCCCAGATAAATACGAACAACTGCTACGTACGCATCGATATCTATTATCTACGCAACAGAAGTCGTTTTCACGTTACATTTATTTCAAAGCGATTAGCGAAGGCTAATTTTTGAACTAATACGTTTTTTTTTCTGTTTTAGAGTAAGTTCAATGCCCGACACAATGGTAATAATTTGTAGGGGAGAAACACAGAAATAACTCTTCATGTTACGCAGAATACATACTAAACTGTCAAACGTGATAATGTTTCTCCGACTCAAATATTTGTGTAGACTACAAAAAATATAATTGATTTATATAGACGTAGCACTTTTTTTAATTTTAAAACTATGAGACAAATACATTTTACTGAAAGACACAAATTCTCTAATTAAAATAAATTACCATCTTATGAAATTTTAAATTTTTATAGTCAATAAATATGATACATGATATCTACCAATTATTTCTTTATCTAGCCTCTAATTATTAGAATAGTTAAATATTTTTTAGACCACTCAACAGTACTGTTAGAAAATGCTACAAATTATGCGCGACAAAAGTAATATTTATGTAAATTAAAATAATACTAGTGAAAAATAAAAAATCTTTAAATTTTTGGTTAGTAAATAAAAATTTTATTAATTATTCCATGGAATATTATACTATAATATTTTATTTCAAATTTTAAAACATTTTAAAGCAAATTGCACGAATTGCCCTTGTAATGCTATAAATACTAAATAAATCATAATGTTTTAAATATATATAATACATATATATTTAAAAAAGGGAAACCAAAAATTTTACAATTATTTAAAAATACGTGAGAGCTTATTCGTAAGTATTATTTAATTAATATTTTATATAATTCATCGCATATATCAATAAAATTTATTTATAAAATATATATAAATATAAAACATAAAATAAACATAATTATTAAGATTCATGTTTTCAAAAAAGTACTTCTACATTAAATGTCTCGCGTTATATAAATTTAAGAATCCTACTCTTAATGTGACGTAGTAATATAAATAAAAATCACTATAGACAAACATATACCTAAAATTAATAAGAAAAACATAAGATTTATTATTGATAGAATTAAGAATATTTTAATACTCATTCAAACATGTAACGTGAAATGTTTCACAGGACTTGACATAACAGTAAACCTTATTTTTAAGTCACCATTCAAACTTTCAGTCAAGTGATGAGAGTGAGGGAATATTAACGTCACACTATTCAGCTACACGAGGGCTTTTGGAGACGGACCTCGTAATTTTGAATCATGGTCAAGTGACGAGGACGACACCTGAGTTGGAACCTCCTCTCCTAACTACCACATTACACCAACGGGAGGACGTTTCAGCTCTCGACAGATTTAACGTGCATCGTGCCCCTACACGACAGGTCTTAAGTGGTACTGGGCTCGAACTCATGGCATGTTAGCCACAATCCAATACCTTGACCACTAGGCTACCGCGACCCAAGTGATGAGAGAGGGAAGGTTATGATAGCATCGCCCTATTAAGCTGAAAGATGGCTATTGGCGACTGATCTCGTAAATTTCATCCTCGGTCATGTGAACAGGATGACACCCGAGCTGGTACCACTCCC